GAGTTACGTATTATAACTAAAAAAAAAAATAGGTTTATAATGTTGGGACAACCCTCGTTCGCCTGATGATAAAATTTATCTAAAATAATTGAATTGATAAGAAAGAAAAAGTCACACTAGTCGTACCATGTTAACAATGAATATAATTTTTTTTAATTTTGGAGAAACTTTTCTAATTATAATATAGTATAAATACTATAAACATAGGTACTAAGTACGATTATCCATACGTAGTTACTATGGTATTAGGTCATAAATGGAAGAGAACATTAAGAAGGAACATTTTAGTTAAAATCGTTCTGAAAAAAAGTGATTTGATTCGGAAGGGTCATGAAACCTCTTTAAATTGGAGGGATCACATCACCCATATATATTTATATACAGAGTAATTCTTTTAATGATTCGATTTTTCTTAAAATAAAAAGTTTTCTGAACAACTTTTTTGTGGAATTTGTTAGATACATTTTATTTCCATTTATGTATTAAAAATATTTTTTATGTTCATCTCATATCTTATANTATTAAAAATATTTTTTATGTTCATCTCATATCTTATAGGGCTGTTAGCTTTATATTTTTATTTAAATTGTAACATATGTATGGTAAACTAGCTTATAATATAAAAAATAATTTAATTACGAAAGTGATTGATCGGTAATAACTTTTGAACTAATGTTCCGGAAGATATTTATATTTTAATATATAGACTGGAGGTAAAGTGTGAATACTGCTATTTTTATCATTAGTCATTTATCGANTAAATTTGTAATTTTTTTGGATATTTCCCCCATTTGCGGGGAACGAGGGAATTTTTTTCAATTTTTAAGGGTAATGTCTTCAACTAGATACGATTTGTGATCTTTTGACGTATTTTTGAAAGAAATCGGTCCAGTGAGAGCTGAGAAAAAGTGGCAACAGACATATAAAAAAAAAAAAAAAACACATCATAGTAAAATTAATACCTTCTCCGCTTCGCATTGAAGCTAATAAGCTTTAATTTAAGATATATTTAAAGGATGGAGGTTTTCAACACTACAAAGTAAACTTTTCATGCATGTTTAGTCTAAAACAAGGAGATGCTCAATCTTCTACATTCTGATTGCTTTACACTTGTCAAATATGATCACTGATAGAAAAGTGCTCCGAGCTATATATTTTTAACCGAAAAACGCAGGTGTATAAAAAAATCTTTGAGGAAATAAAGTGATTATATAATAAACAAGGTATATTTTCTTTCATTAGAAAAAAATATTAGAATGGGTTGGTCCTGCATGAAGAGCAGATGATCAATTAATTAATAACATTAATGAATAAAATAAATAATAAACGAATACCCATTAAGCCGATAGATCAAAATATTTTTTATAGACAGTTTATCAAAGAAATAGACATAAATAAAAGTTGATGGCAGTTAAGGTCCTTAATAGACTGTAAGCTAAAAAAGAAAAAGCCTAAAAGTATATGAAAATTTTTTTTTATTAATCTAGAACTTAATATAATATAAAAAGTATAAGGTATTATAAAAAAAAAAATACAGAATAGTTCAAATTATTATACATATATGTTATTATCAAAATACGAAACCAAGATTTTTAAATCATTTTTTTAATACATATTTACTTTGGACGACCTCTTTTTGCAGTGTTTCCCTTTTTAGATTTTTTATTAGCTTCTGCAGCAGCTTTAGCTTCTTCCAACTAATTAAAAAATCAATGACATCATTAAAATTAGTAATTATTGGTAAAAACATTTTTTTTTAGTGATATGATAAACAGTAGAAGTCCATGAAATGACAAGATGTTATATTTCTATTATCAGCTATTTGTTTAAAATACAAGATTGCATTTAAGTACAAACTACAGTTAGTATACCCACACTACAAATATTCAATGTTTTGTTTTATATATTTACATTAATTGTATTATATTTAAAAACAAATATCTATATATATTAAAATGTATTTTACATACTCTTAAAAATATAAAAAGTTGATTTCAGAGGAGAGAGAATCATTCTGAATGATAAATTAAAAATTACAGTTATATTTCATAGTTTAAATTTTAATTTATACATCAAATAGATAGTAAATTTTTAATAATAATATCAATTTTGAACATTTAAAAAAAAAACAGTTAAACTTATAGCAAAGATACAAGTTTAGTATTTTTTCTTTATTTATTAGTAAGTAGTATAAGATACATTCACATTTTTTAAAAATTCACTTCCATACATTTTTATAAAAGAAGAATGCACTGTTGAAAAAAAACAAATACGTCCAATAATTAGTCATTAAGATATAACAAATAAGAAAATTGTAATTGTTTGCTATGTTTTAATACTAAACAAATATTTTTTGTATTTTCTAAAATGTTTTAAAATGAGAATGTATTTAGTTACTGCAAGAATGATTTAAATTTTAATTACCTTGCGTTTATTTGGTGTAGTAGAAAAAGTAAAGAATGAATCTAGTCTACCTTGAGTTGAACCAGACCGTGTTTTCATTATTTTCTTTGCACCACTCCTTACCCTATCTTCACTAAAAGCACGATCACCACATAAGAACTTCACTAAACCATCTTCATCTGGATCATTCCATTTTAACTTGATAAAATATAAAAAATATATATTAGTATATAAAAGAATCATTGTTTTTTAATATGGCTGTATTTAATAGTCATAAATGTTTGATTAATAAAAAAAATATTCTAATATATGATTTACTTCAATTGTATTAGGGTCAGCTACTTCAGGTTCAATAAATAACCGTCTTGCTTCTTTAAAAGGCCAATTTTCAGGTACTTGATATTTTTTGGTATCAATATTTTCTAAAATATTTTCTAACGTTTTGTATTGTCGTATTAATTCTATAGCTCTTTTTGGACCAACACCTNTCGTATTAATTCTATAGCTCTTTTTGGACCAACACCTTTAATACTATTACAATAGTCACATCCTAATAATATGCATAAATCAATGAACTGAAAATAAAAATTAATTGATGATAAAAACATATTATAATTATAATTTAACTATTGACCTATTTATGATACATTTTAATTTATTAAACTTTAGTAAATACCTCATGTTTAGTCATTTCCATTCCTTCTAAAACAGTGTCAAATTGAAATTCTTGAATAGGCATTTTCCTTGCTTCGCTAAAAGTTAAATGTCTTAATAATACTGGAGTACCAAATGTTAAAGCATCCATATCCTCTGTTGCTGTAGCATAAACTTTTCCAGATTTAACCATTGCAGCACATTGGGCTTCAGCTTCACATGGCGCCTTAAAAACCAAACATTCATTTATTTTATTTAAAATAAACTAATTAAATATATAACCCTATCATGTAATAAAATCTCGATAGACTTCAAAAAATAATAATACATCTAAAGTCTGCTTTGGAATTATTAATGTTATTTGACGAAGATTATACATAATAAAAATATATAAGTGATGCATAAAAACTTACTTCAATATACGGTACTCCCATTAATTTTAATAATTCTTTACATTCAGATGTATGAACTGAAGTTACTTTTACCAATCTTTTACTAAATTTATCAATATCTGTAGTATCACCTGATAAACAAAAAAAAAACATTTCAGGAAAGAAATAGACATAAAATATATATATTTTTTAAAAGGTTTTTTCATAATTTTTTTTGATATATTTAAAATAATAGTCCTAACAAATTTAATTTTAAATACCTGCTTCTTCAGCTTTTTCTAAAGCTTTTTGAGCTTCTTGACGTCTTTCCGTACGCTTTTCTAATTCTGATGATTTCATTTGTGGAGGCTTACCATCAAAAACATATACTGGTTTAATACCATTCTCCAAAAGTCTTATAGTTCGGTAAAATGTTCCCATTAAATGACTATAATATACATAAATTAAAATGTTATATACAATTATTTATATTGTAAACAAAGTAATAGTAATTAAGAAAAACCTGGTTGTTTCTCCATCAACAGAAGTTAATTGTGATCCCTCACTTCGTACAGCTATTAGAAATTGATAAAGGCTCATTGATGCATCAATAGCAATTTTTCTACCTACAGAAAATAATAGTTACAACATATCTGTTAAATATTTAATCAACTTAAATACCCACCAAAATGGTTTTTTATTTCATTTTCTCTAATAGCATTAGGAGCTACATCAGCTATGAGTTTCGCTAATCCAGTTATTCCCATGTTAGTGATACCTAATAATATAAATTTCAGTTATTTCTAAACTTTTATTCTATGGATATATTATTTTTGAAATATGAACAAATTAATTTACACAAAGAATTGACTTTAACTATAAAGAAAATGACATTACGGACAAGATAATAACGTAACGTGTGCAATTCTTAACAATAATCTAGCATTTAGTAAGAATTCAGTCATGTTATCACTGAATTAACGCGGGAAAATAAAAATTGATAACAACAATTATTATCAACCACGGTTATAAAGATCTGTATATAAATATGTCTATTTATGTTGCTGCTAACGGTTAATAAATAAGAGGGTATTTGAAACGTCTTTGTTCATAATTTCTATATTTTTAACATTTAAAACTTAAATGTATCTATTTCAATGGTAAAAAATAAGTTAAAAATATATATTAGAATGTAGTGGTGTAATTACGGAATCGAAAAGGGGTCACACTCTCAACCCCTGACAAAATTTAAGAGTCAACAAAGTATAGTTTTGCAACTGTTAAAAATATCAAATAGCTAAAGGATATTATGTTGTCAGGGTAAAAATTTGTTTTATATAGAATCTATAGTAGATCTTTATAAATGACGACTACCTATTTATGTTTTTAATGTATATTTTTTCTCAATAATTGTTTTATTTAACACTTTATTTCGGAATTTATAATTATAAATTATTCTTTGTGTATCGTTAAAATATAAGTGTAATTATTTATTTCGATATAGCTATTTTTTTAAAATCTTCATTTATGGCAGCATAATAAAGTATTGGTTTAGGCATTGGTTAGAGCTCAAAAACGCTGATCATCTTCCAAATCGATTAAAAAATTTTAAATCCCCTAAAATTTTACCCAAATTATACCATTATAATTTTAGTAATTACACTATTATAGTTAATAAAAAGGGTCCTCAACAAAAAAGAATTTTTGTTTTTTAAATTTTAGTCTTAATGTAATAGTTAAACAATAGTAGTTCGTCACAATAATAGGAAATAAATGTTTATAATGATGAAATGACATGTAGTTTAGAGTTATTTGGCTTCGTA